CATTTGAAAAATCAAAGTTGCTACTGCTTTCTAATAGAAGCGGCAACACCGCATTGTCGAAAATATTTTAGTTGGCTAGAGAATGTCCGAATATGCCCTCCATTGAATTTTCAAAGTGATCCGTTGTCTGGTTCACCAGAAACGTCTAATGTGCCATCCACCGTGAATCAGCCTGTATGTACCTATATGTTTGAAAATGTCCGTATAGGACGAAACTGCAGTAACGTTAGTTACAAATAAAAGTGGTAAACAACATAGAAAGTTTCATTTCTTTTTTCTTCATTAGGATTTCCTAACACGTAGTAACGGCTACATCCATCAATTTATTATAACCCTTTTAATTTAAAGAAAATACGTATTTCTAGAAAAAAATGCAAATATTCATTTATCGACAGACAGAGAAGAGAATATGCTTCTCGTTCATCCAGCGTCAAGAACTCGATGTGGAACGATTAATCTCATCTTCATCAGGAAGGCTACATAGCTCTAAATAGGCCGATCCAACCAACTGAATACTGAAAGAATGGAGCTAGAAGGAATAGAAAACTATCGTCGAAATTCATTTGACGCTACTCAAGATTAAGCCAGTGAAGCCAGTGTCTGTGATTTATGGATTTATGATGTTCTGACAGAAGAAACTCACTGATATCTGGGAAATTAATACCCCAATGTACCATATCTTCAGCTTTGCTCTGGAAACCCGAATGAATGAAGACTGTAATGTTGATCGATGTGTGATTGACTAGAGGAGGGTTGATTTGAAAAAATGATTGCATTATAATGCGATTTTTTTTCGAGATAAATTTATCACTGTAGATAAATATCGTCCAAACACCGGAACCTTGTTTTCTGGTTCGGTTACGATCTCTTTATTAAAATTTATTTCAGATATTTTGTTAGATTTATGTTTTCCTTCAAATTTGTTGACAATGGGCTAAAGTGTTTTCGTTTTGTTATCCGATTCACTAATGATTGCATTATAATGCGATTTTTTTTCGAGAGAAATTTTCTTATCATATTCCTCTTCGGTAATTTATAATTTTCTTTTACCGTTACATCATCTGTCCTCTTGCACCAAAGAAAGTCATTCATGTAGTTATCAAAAAAGATATCAACATCGTTGACGTGACTGGTATCGAAATTGATTTTTGCAAGTAAATATCTGAACTCGTTTCTGGAGTTCTGATTAATTTTTCTGTAAGAATATTTTTCTACATTCGTTATTGGATTGAGAACCGAGGACAAGCGACAGGTAGCGATTTGTTCGTGGTGATCGGAGAGACCCGAGTCAAGATTAGGTGAATTCCACACAACGTAAACAATAGCACAAGAACTTATGTAATTTACTGTTGAAACTAACTAAAAGAGATCTTTCAATAATTTCGAGACCAAATTATTAATAGATATCATATTTTCAAATCAAAATCAGTATTGTTAAGATTTTTTCTGATGAACATATGTTCTTTGGAACTTTATTGTTATAGAACTGTAAAAGCAACCTAAAGGCACCCAAGTTCAAATTGAAAATTGAAAATTTTCGATTCTGCACTTACCACTTTGGCTTGGCTTTCTCGAAAATCTCCACTGAGCATTGCCTTCATGACATCACATCGTGCTGCAAGCATCGCCTTGTGAGCAGTGCAGGCTCCATCATCAAGTTCGAATATGACGTCTGCAAAAAGGCCTTGATCTAAACAGACATCCTGTAAACGCCCCTTGAGGAAATTTTCATAAGTGTCATCGGGAGGGTCAGGGGCAACAAAAGGATGTTTTGTGAGCAGTATCAATAATTGGGGCAACTCCAGAAATTCCGCAGCCTCACAGGTTTCCTGAAACGTAAGAAACACTCTTACGTCTGCATTTTTCAACCATAATATTGACAATGATAATTATTATATTCGTAACAGTATTGTTGAGAAGAGATGACCACTAATCAAGGGTCGATCCATGATTTGGGTCTAGGAGCATACCCTTNTCTACTAAAATGAGAGAGAAATGAAACTTTCTATGTTTTTTACCACTTTTATTTGTAACTAACGTTACAGCAGTTTCGTCCTATACGGATATTTTCAAACTTATACAATAAGTATATGTATAAGTTTGAAAATGTCCGTATACAATAATTATATGTACCTATGTTTAACCGTGCCAAGCGATTCTTTTATATGAATATGTTTGCTGGCTATTAATTGTCAGAAATGCCGAAAGAATGTTTCTTTTGGAAAGACTGTTTCTACAGCTGAACAAAATTACTGTCCCTCGACACGCGTTTCGCTAACCAAGTTAGCATCATCAGAAAGTGACTAAAACCAATCGAGTTAGGACAGGCAAATGCTACTCAACTACCATCAACACGATATTGTCACATTTAGCTCGAATCAGCTGCCCTTTTCATGTGGAACGATTAATCTCATCTTCATCAGGAAGGCTACATAGCTACAAATAGGCCGATCCAACCAACTGAATACTGGAAGAATGGAGCTAGAAGGAATTGAAAACTATCGTCGAAATTCATTTGACGCTACTCAAGATTAAGCCAGTGAAGCCACAACAAGTGTCTGTGATTTATGGATTTATGATGTTCTGACAGAAGAAGCTCACTGATATCTGGGAAATTAATACCTCAGTGTACCATATCTTCAGCTTTGCTCTGGAAACCCGAATGAATGAAGACTGTAATGTTGATCGATGTGTGATTGACTAGAGGAGGGTTGATTTGAAATCATTAGGTGAATTTTGTGTAGCCCATACAAGTGAGAGAGTTTGCTTTGGTGCGATGTTAGCGATGTCCTCAGTTTTATCGATGTTGTGCCATCTCAATCCCAATGATCACTTACCACACGGCGTGGTGGGTGTCATTGCTTGATGATGCTGTCATGCCCTCCCGAATGTGTCGGGGCTTCGAGGACAGGGTCCGACCAACTCTACCTTCAGTAAAATAACAATAATAATAAATACGCAGGGATAGCCACCTGACAGCTGAGGCCTTTGACCTCACTCTATGCCTCTGGAGAAAAGGATCTTTCAGTCCTTGAGGCTGATGAAAGAGTAGATCATGCCATCGGTACGAATTTTGGGATAAACAAAAGAGGAGGACGTGGGGGATTACTGAAAGGATGTACAGCTCCTAGATGGAAGCATCCTACACCATCTAGAAGCTTGAGAGACCTATACTCACCACGGATTGGAACAGTGCCACTAACAAGAGGTATGTTTCATAAACATTAATGCCTCTGGAGAAAATGATCTCCATCAGTCCTTGAGGCTGATGGAAGAGTACACCATGCTATCGGTATGAATTTCGGGATAAACAAAAGAGGAGGATTACGAATTGGATGTACAGCTCGTAGATGAAAGCAACATATACCATCTGATAGCTGAAGAGAT